CGCTCAACAGCTCCGGGTGACTAACAAGTGCAAACACACAAAGGCCTATCTCCGTCACTCCCGTCTTGCCAATCTCCTTCCTGTGATAAGTGCCACGCTCAGAGATTTAGGAAACCGGCCATCTCGCGAGTGATTGTACACCTATTCTCCCCTACCTCTGTACAGAATACACTGTTTCTTTCACCTGGTGTCTCCCTTTTTCTCCTCCGCCCCGGAACCCGGCCTGAAGGAGCAAGAGATTTGCCTAGTTACTTTAGCCAACTGCGATACTCCCTCTCCCCAAGCAGCACCGTTTGTCCCGACGCGGGAATTGAACTCACCGCGGAACAATCGACAAGTTAACAGACAGGTCCTCTTATAATGTTTTCTTACCTCAGGGCGCTGATGATGGTTGGGGCGGATGTGAATCCCGAAGAGGCTGATTTAGGGTCATCCAACGCTCGTTGATGCCCTGTGATGGACAGGGTGGTCGCCCCACGACGTCGTTTCGGATAGCAAATGCAACACCAGCATCGCATCGTTCTGCCTCTGGGTGACTGACACAGAAGAATGTGTAGCCGGCAACCACCCAGCTCAGACGCGTACTTTGACGATGTTTCAGTCACTGTATGACACATTGGTTGATTGGCTTCTGGGTGTGTCCTCCAAGGGTTCTCTAGGCAGTTTTTGGCATAAAAAGCCAGATTAATATCCAACCGCTTATGTCGGAAAGTATTAAGTGCAAGCCTTGGTGTTACGTGCCGGCAACACTAATGTTTATGTTGCGAGTTTGAGACTCTCGCGGTTTACCGTGACTGAGAAGGCAGCCAACCGACGCATTTGCCAGACACGCCATCAGCCCAATGTCTGTTCTGTATGTGAAGTGACTAATGGGTGGACTGTGCATCGTCTCATCATCTCTAAGATGCGGATCCGTCTCCAACCACGCAGGAGACCCCAAGGTAAGCGACCCCCAGGTAAGTTGATTGTTAAACTTGCCTGCCAATCATTTGTGTTTCAGCAACGAGCTGGCCCAACAGCTGGACAGCCTTCCAATCGCAGAAGAGAACACCTCCGTGGAGAATCGATGGTGTTAACTACGGGACGCTGTTCAATCCACTGCCAGACGCATCCTTGGCCCCGCATACTGCCCACACCAAGACTGGTTTGATGAAAACGATGCAGCCATCAAAACTCTTATCTCTGAGAAGAATCGCCTACGCAAAGAATACGTCAATCGCCCTACCAACGCCACGAAAGCAGCCTACTATCAAAGTCGCCGTCTTGTACAGCAGCTGCTGCGGGAAATGGGTGAGGAAATCCAAGGATATGCGGACCGCAACGAATGGAAGAACTTCTTCGCTGCGCTCAAAGCTGTCTACGGTCCCATAGTCAGGGGCACAGCCCCGCTTCCCAGCGCTGACGGAACCACCCTCCTCATTGAGAAGACACAAATTCTGAGCCACTGGGCCGAGCACTTCCAAAGTGTACTCAACCGGCCCTCTAC